CCTCTCTGCCCAGCCATGTCCAGAGCCAGCAACCCACCCACCCACCCCCCACACACACACACCCCGCGTGGGGGACAGGACCCTCCACCTGGGGACGTAGGACCAAGGGGATGGTGCCAGCGGGGAACTACGCTACCGAATGCCAGCTGAAGGTGGCCGGGGCCGTTTCCTGGTTCCCGGGGGCAGGGAGGGGAGGCACCGGCGGGCACTGTCCCCTCCTTCCCGGGGGCCGGTACTCCGACGATGTCCCCGGCGCGCCCCGTCGGGCGCGCCGGGGACATCGTCGGAGCACCGGCCCCCGTGTGCGAGGGGGCGGGACCGAGTGATGACGTTACGCCCTCCCAAAATGACCACGCCCACTTAACCACGCCCACAAACTTGTATAACACCCGGAGGGCCGCGTGGTTTTTAGGTAAGGGACCCGAACCTTTAGGTTCCGAGAGTAGACCGGGATGGAGCAGGGCACGGGCATCCCCGGGTACCGGGAGCGGACCGGGATGGGCAGGGGACCAGCATCTTCCGGGCTCTGGGTCGGGGGGGGACCGGGATGGGCAAGGGACCGGCGTCCCCCGGGCTCCGGGGGGCGGAGCGGGAAGGACAGGGGACCCCGGGATCTGGGGGGCGGACCGGGATGGGCAGGGGATCCCGGAATCTGGGGGGCGGACCGGGAAGGACAGGGGACGCCGGGATCTGGGGGGAGGACCGGGATGGGAAGGGGACCCCGGGATCTGGGGGGGTGGAGAGGGATGGGCAGGGGGACCGGCGTCCCCCGGGCTCCGGGGGGGCGGTACCGGGTACCGGAGAGGGGAAGGCACCGGGAGTTCAATACGGTTCCGTTTCCCCTCGCCGAGGCCGCAATCAATCACGTTGCTCCGGGCAGCCCTAAGGATGCGGCGGGGGCAAGGGAAGCGAAAGGCTGAGGCCACGGAGGTGCCAGGCGTGTCTCGGAGGAGGAAGGAGGAAGAGGAGGCGATGCAGGAGGCCCGGCGGAGGGCGGCCCCGTCCGTGCGAGAGTTCAAGTACAACAAAAAGCGGGTTCGCCTCGTCTCGCAGGGCTCAGACCTGAAGGATGATGCTCGGTGCATCCTTTACTGGATGTCTCGGGACCAGCGGGTGCAAGGTGGGAACCAGCTGGTGGAGTGGGCCACGAAGCAGGGTGGCTTCCTGGCCACACATGGGTGGCGAAAGCCTTAGCCCCTTCCCACTCTCCCCTCTGCAGGGGGCTGGGGGGATTCCTTTTGCAAACACCATCTCCATCACCTCGGCATGGGACATGCCGTTAAGACCAGGAGAAGTGTTGGGGTGTTCAGGCACAACCAGGAGGTCCAAGAAGGGTCTTCCCCTCCACCACGGTGCTGGGGCTGGCATGGGAGGTTCTCACCCCATCACCAGTTGAATCAGAAGCCTAGACCAGGCCAGGATGCCCTTGTAACCACCAACACCCTGCCAAACGTCCATCCACCCCTCTATACCCACTAACACACCAACATCCTACAGAGAAATATCCCACGTCCCTCTGACACTGCCCTGTGTGCTCTCTCCCCAGATAACTGGGCTTTCCTCTATGCCCAGCGCCTGGCCCTCAAACAGGAGCTGCCTCTGCATGTCTGCTTCTGCCTGGTGCCCAAATTCCTGGATGCCACCATCCGCCACTATGGCTTCATGCTGAAGGGCCTGCGGGAGGTGGCCGAGGTACAGCCGCTGCAGGGATGTCCACGCTGGGTGGGACAGGGCTCTTGGGAAGGCTGGGGAGGAAAATTCAGCAGAGGGTGGTGGTGGGATGGGGTTTGCAGAGGCACCTGAGAGCTCTTTCTCCCTCACTGCAGGAGTGCGCAGAGCTGAACATCCCCTTCCACTTGCTGCTGGGATACGCCAAGGATGTGCTGCCTGCGTTTGTGGTGGAGCGTGGCGTGGGTGGGCTGGTGACAGACTTCTGCCCCCTCCGCCTCCCCCGGCAGTGGGTGGAGGACGTCAAGGAGCGGTTGCCAGAGGATGTGCCGTTTGCTCAGGTGGGTGCCCACGCTCTGGGAGGGGAAAACTGGCTGATGAGCCTTGGGAAAAACTTGTCTTCTGTGTCTTGTACCTGCAGAGGTGTGCTGGAGTGACCTGAGCAGGGAGTGTGTGTGTCATATCATCAGAACCCTTTGCTTCTCCTCATATCTTCCTCTGTGACTTTGCTTCCCAGGTTGATGCCCACAACATCGTGCCCTGCTGGGTTGCCTCCCCCAAGCAGGAGTACAGCGCCAGGACTATCCGGGGCAAGATCCATGCTCAGCTCCCCGAGTTCCTCACCGAATTCCCCCCTGTCATTCGTCACCCGTACTCCCCATCCAGCCCAACAGAGGTACCAGCAGGAGACACCTCCACACCCATTCACAGCCAGTCTCAGAAAGTTTCACGGCTACTTGGTGGGAGGGGATGGCAGGGGACAATGAGCTGCCCGAGGTCATGCTCAGGCGGTGTGGAGATGGGGCTGCCCCGGGGAAGGGAGGTTCCCACCTCACTTATTCAATTCCCACATCTCTGCTGTGCAGGGCTGGTTAAGAAGAGAAAGCTGGCATGAGCTGGGGACTTGCTGGCTGGGCATACCCAGGGGCCACAATGCTCAGGGCAGCCCTGGCTGAAGAGCATCTGCAAATGCACTCATGCTACTTGGTTGCCACCCAGCCCATTGCTTGGGAGGCCTGTTATTCCAGCTTGCAGGTGGACCGCACCGTGAAGGAGGTGGAGTGGGCGACCCCCGGCACGGCTGCGGGGCTGGCTGTGCTGCAGTCCTTCATCGCCGAGCGCCTGAAATCCTTCGGCTCCCACCGGAACGACCCCAACAAGGCAGCGCTCAGCAACCTGTCCCCGTGGTTCCATTTCGGTGAGCATCCCGTGCTTCCCACTCTGTAGTTAAGACCAAGCACAGTGGACAAGTCAGGACCAGCAGCCTGACTTGCTCCCTCCTCATGTCTCCAGGCCAGGTTTCCACCCAACGAGCCATCCTGGAGGTGCAGAAGCACCGGGCCAAGTACAAGGAGTCGGTGGACGCGTTTGTGGAGGAGGCTGTGGTGCGACGGGAGCTGGCTGAAAACTTTTGCTACTACAACGAGAACTACGACAGCGTGCAAGGTAGCATCCCAGGGTGGGTGGGCAATGCTGGGGGACAGGCTGGTACCCAACTGGTCACCCCACCTTGGCAATCCCATTTCTGCTAGGAGAGGGGTTGCAGGGGGACTAATGTGCCATCATTTGGTATCTTTCGGAGGTAGGAGAGGAGCTGGTGGATGCCCTCTTCAAGGCTAGTCCAGGTCATGGTGCCCTCAGTAGCCCAGTTCTCCATCCTTTACTTGGAGCCCTGCAGGAGAAGGTTACTCAGCATTGCTCTTCATCTCTCTTACTCACAGGTGCCTACGACTGGGCACAAACCACCCTGAAGCTCCACGCCAAAGACAAGAGACCTTTTCTCTACAAGCTGCAGGAGCTGGAGCAGGGGACCACGCATGACCCACTCTGGAACGCTGCCCAGGTAGTGCCCCACATAACTCCTGCAAAATGCTGAGCCCTTTCCTGGGGGGGCAGAGATGAGCTGGCACATACTGACCCTTGTGATCTGTCCCCCTAGCTCCAAATGGTCCGGGAAGGCAAGATGCATGGCTTCCTGCGGATGTACTGGGCCAAGAAGATCCTGGAGTGGACCCGCTCTCCCGAGGAGGCCCTCCAGTTTGCCATCTACCTCAACGACCGCTACGAGCTGGACGGGAGGGACCCCAACGGATACGTAGGCAAGCTGCGGGATGAGGGGCCATGGTGGGGGGGAGGGTCTTATCTCTGATGGCCAAGGCTGCGGTGGGTGGGGAAGGCTCTGCAGACAACCCAGCCCATGCTCTATCCCATCTTGCTTTGCACCCTCATCCCACCTGCTCTCCGGATGCCTCCGAGCGAGGGGGAGAGCTGACGCTCCGTCCCCGTGTCCCGCAGGCTGCCTCTGGTCCATCTGTGGCATACACGACCAAGGCTGGGCAGAGAGGGCCATCTTCGGGAAGATCCGCTACATGAACTACGCCGGCTGCAAGCGCAAGTTCGACGTGGCCCAGTTCGAGCGTCGCTACGCCCCCCGCACGCTCTCCCAGTGACAGGCACAGCGTCCTTCAGCCTGCTCCTGCCCCTCCATGTGGGGACAGACGTGCCTTTGCCAAGGTGCCCCAGCCAGGGATCACCCCAGGTACTGGGGGGCGCTCACTGTAACAGCGGCGAGCCATGGGGTTTTGCAGGTCTTTCCTCTGCCATCACCCCCTGCTCAAGTTGCTGGGCTGGGGCTGCTGTTGGAGCCCCTCCTGCTACTACAGGTTTGCTGGAAGCTGCAAGAGCTCCTCCTCAGCGTGAAACCAGAAACCTTTTGTACAACCACTGTGCTCAGGAGGAAGCCCAAGTGATGGTTGTTGCTGCTAACCACAGCTTAGATTTAGGCTGAGCATGGCTTTTCCCAGAAAAAGCCCCCAGAAACTGGTTCCTCAGGCTGTGCTGCCCCCAGGGAAGCCCTGCTTTGCTCCATGTGGAGCTGGCACTGGGCTGGGCTCGTACGTGCTTCCTTCAACAGTTTGTTTTAAAGTTTACAGTTTGTATCTCCCGTGTCTGTGGTGTTTATGGGGTGATGCATGACACGGCCGAGGGGAGAACAGTCTGCATGGGACAGGGATAGGGCACCCAAGGCCATACCCCAGTCCCTCTTCCTGCAGCAGGCAGCACAGAGCCCCTTAGTGGCTTTTATCACTTGTCCAGGGGCCAGTTTGCAGGGGGAGGCCATAAACCAGACGGATTAGTCATGGGCTGGTGACAACATCCCCCTCCCAGTGACATCTGGCAATGCATCACTGCTTGCACATGTTGTCCCTCCTGCCATCCTGCTCCCTCCCTGCCCCAGGGGCCAACGGCCACTGCAGCACCAACCTCAAGGCATTGGGGGTACACACTGTTACCCCACCTGAAATGATGCCACAGCATAACCAGGCTCTTCATTAACTTAGTTTATTAGGGACGGCATTTTCATTGCTACAGTGTGCAACAGTCCCATGGAGAGGGCTCCAGCTGACACCCAGGGCAGCCCCTCGCTTTCCCTTACAAATGGCCAGTTCCAGTGTTACTCGTGGCAGTCAGTGCTGGGCAGCAGCATCAGTGCTGGGCACAACCCTGCTCTGGAGACCTCCACCAGGTTTGCAAGTCCTGCTGCTTCCAAAGTCCATGGCGGAGGGTGGAAACCACAAATAACCCCCAAATCCCTTCCCTCTTCTCTACAGGTGCTCAGTGCTTCTATTGTCCCCTCCTTCCCGGGGGCCGGTACTCCGACGATGTCCCCGGCGCGCCCCGTCGGGCGCGCCGGGGACATCGTCGGAGCACCGGCCCCCGTGTGCGAGGGGGCGGGACCGAGTGATGACGTTACGCCCTCCCAAAATGACCACGCCCACTTAACCACGCCCACAAACTTGTATAACACCCGGAGGGCCGCGTGGTTTTTAGGTAAGGGACCCGAACCTTTAGGTTCCGAGAGTAGACCGGGATGGAGCAGGGCACGGGCATCCCCGGGTACCGGGAGCGGACCGGGATGGGCAGGGGACCAGCATCTTCCGGGCTCTGGGTCGGGGGGGGACCGGGATGGGCAAGGGACCGGCGTCCCCCGGGCTCCGGGGGGCGGAGCGGGAAGGACAGGGGACCCCGGGATCTGGGGGGCGGACCGGGATGGGCAGGGGATCCCGGAATCTGGGGGGCGGACCGGGAAGGACAGGGGACGCCGGGATCTGGGGGGAGGACCGGGATGGGAAGGGGACCCCGGGATCTGGGGGGGTGGAGAGGGATGGGCAGGGGGACCGGCGTCCCCCGGGCTCCGGGGGGGCGGTACCGGGTACCGGAGAGGGGAAGGCACCGGGAGTTCAATACGGTTCCGTTTCCCCTCGCCGAGGCCGCAATCAATCACGTTGCTCCGGGCAGCCCTAAGGATGCGGCGGGGGCAAGGGAAGCGAAAGGCTGAGGCCACGGAGGTGCCAGGCGTGTCTCGGAGGAGGAAGGAGGAAGAGGAGGCGATGCAGGAGGCCCGGCGGAGGGCGGCCCCGTCCGTGCGAGAGTTCAAGTACAACAAAAAGCGGGTTCGCCTCGTCTCGCAGGGCTCAGACCTGAAGGATGATGCTCGGTGCATCCTTTACTGGATGTCTCGGGACCAGCGGGTGCAAGGTGGGAACCAGCTGGTGGAGTGGGCCACGAAGCAGGGTGGCTTCCTGGCCACACATGGGTGGCGAAAGCCTTAGCCCCTTCCCACTCTCCCCTCTGCAGGGGGCTGGGGGGATTCCTTTTGCAAACACCATCTCCATCACCTCGGCATGGGACATGCCGTTAAGACCAGGAGAAGTGTTGGGGTGTTCAGGCACAACCAGGAGGTCCAAGAAGGGTCTTCCCCTCCACCACGGTGCTGGGGCTGGCATGGGAGGTTCTCACCCCATCACCAGTTGAATCAGAAGCCTAGACCAGGCCAGGATGCCCTTGTAACCACCAACACCCTGCCAAACGTCCATCCACCCCTCTATACCCACTAACACACCAACATCCTACAGAGAAATATCCCACGTCCCTCTGACACTGCCCTGTGTGCTCTCTCCCCAGATAACTGGGCTTTCCTCTATGCCCAGCGCCTGGCCCTCAAACAGGAGCTGCCTCTGCATGTCTGCTTCTGCCTGGTGCCCAAATTCCTGGATGCCACCATCCGCCACTATGGCTTCATGCTGAAGGGCCTGCGGGAGGTGGCCGAGGTACAGCCGCTGCAGGGATGTCCACGCTGGGTGGGACAGGGCTCTTGGGAAGGCTGGGGAGGAAAATTCAGCAGAGGGTGGTGGTGGGATGGGGTTTGCAGAGGCACCTGAGAGCTCTTTCTCCCTCACTGCAGGAGTGCGCAGAGCTGAACATCCCCTTCCACTTGCTGCTGGGATACGCCAAGGATGTGCTGCCTGCGTTTGTGGTGGAGCATGGCGTGGGTGGGCTGGTGACAGACTTCTGCCCCCTCCGCCTCCCCCGGCAGTGGGTGGAGGACGTCAAGGAGCGGTTGCCAGAGGATGTGCCGTTTGCTCAGGTGGGTGCCCACGCTCTGGGAGGGGAAAACTGGCTGATGAGCCTTGGGAAAAACTTGTCTTCTGTGTCTTGTACCTGCAGAGGTGTGCTGGAGTGACCTGAGCAGGGAGTGTGTGTGTCATATCATCAGAACCCTTTGCTTCTCCTCATATCTTCCTCTGTGACTTTGCTTCCCAGGTTGATGCCCACAACATCGTGCCCTGCTGGGTTGCCTCCCCCAAGCAGGAGTACAGCGCCAGGACTATCCGGGGCAAGATCCATGCTCAGCTCCCCGAGTTCCTCACCGAATTCCCCCCTGTCATTCGTCACCCGTACTCCCCATCCAGCCCAACAGAGGTACCAGCAGGAGACACCTCCACACCCATTCACAGCCAGTCTCAGAAAGTTTCACGGCTACTTGGTGGGAGGGGATGGCAGGGGACAATGAGCTGCCCGAGGTCATGCTCAGGCGGTGTGGAGATGGGGCTGCCCCGGGGAAGGGAGGTTCCCACCTCACTTATTCAATTCCCACATCTCTGCTGTGCAGGGCTGGTTAAGAAGAGAAAGCTGGCATGAGCTGGGGACTTGCTGGCTGGGCATACCCAGGGGCCACAATGCTCAGGGCAGCCCTGGCTGAAGAGCATCTGCAAATGCACTCATGCTACTTGGTTGCCACCCAGCCCATTGCTTGGGAGGCCTGTTATTCCAGCTTGCAGGTGGACCGCACCGTGAAGGAGGTGGAGTGGGCGACCCCCGGCACGGCTGCGGGGCTGGCTGTGCTGCAGTCCTTCATCGCCGAGCGCCTGAAATCCTTCGGCTCCCACCGGAACGACCCCAACAAGGCAGCGCTCAGCAACCTGTCCCCGTGGTTCCATTTCGGTGAGCATCCCGTGCTTCCCACTCTGTAGTTAAGACCAAGCACAGTGGACAAGTCAGGACCAGCAGCCTGACTTGCTCCCTCCTCATGTCTCCAGGCCAGGTTTCCACCCAACGAGCCATCCTGGAGGTGCAGAAGCACCGGGCCAAGTACAAGGAGTCGGTGGACGCGTTTGTGGAGGAGGCTGTGGTGCGACGGGAGCTGGCTGAAAACTTTTGCTACTACAACGAGAACTACGACAGCGTGCAAGGTAGCATCCCAGGGTGGGTGGGCAATGCTGGGGGACAGGCTGGTACCCAACTGGTCACCCCACCTTGGCAATCCCATTTCTGCTAGGAGAGGGGTTGCAGGGGGACTAATGTGCCATCATTTGGTATCTTTCGGAGGTAGGAGAGGAGCTGGTGGATGCCCTCTTCAAGGCTAGTCCAGGTCATGGTGCCCTCAGTAGCCCAGTTCTCCATCCTTTACTTGGAGCCCTGCAGGAGAAGGTTACTCAGCATTGCTCTTCATCTCTCTTACTCACAGGTGCCTACGACTGGGCACAAACCACCCTGAAGCTCCACGCCAAAGACAAGAGACCTTTTCTCTACAAGCTGCAGGAGCTGGAGCAGGGGACCACGCATGACCCACTCTGGAACGCTGCCCAGGTAGTGCCCCACATAACTCCTGCAAAATGCTGAGCCCTTTCCTGGGGGGGCAGAGATGAGCTGGCACATACTGACCCTTGTGATCTGTCCCCCTAGCTCCAAATGGTCCGGGAAGGCAAGATGCATGGCTTCCTGCGGATGTACTGGGCCAAGAAGATCCTGGAGTGGACCCGCTCTCCCGAGGAGGCCCTCCAGTTTGCCATCTACCTCAACGACCGCTACGAGCTGGACGGGAGGGACCCCAACGGATATGTAGGCAAGCTGCAGGATGAGGGGCCATGGTGGGGGAGAGGGTCTTATCTCTGATGGCCAAGGCTGCGGTGAGTGGGGAAGGCTCTGCAGACAACCCAGCCCATGCTCTATCCCATCTTGCTTTGCACCCTCATCCCACCTGCTCTCCGGATGCCTCCGAGCGAGGGGGAGAGCTGACGCTCCGTCCCCGTGTCCCGCAGGCTGCCTCTGGTCCATCTGTGGCATACACGACCAAGGCTGGGCAGAGAGGGCCATCTTCGGGAAGATCCGCTACATGAACTACGCCGGCTGCAAGCGCAAGTTCGACGTGGCCCAGTTCGAGCGTCGCTACGCCCCCCGCACGCTCTCCCAGTGACAGGCACAGCGTCCTTCAGCCTGCTCCTGCCCCTCCATGTGGGGACAGACGTGCCTTTGCCAAGGTGCCCCAGCCAGGGATCACCCCAGGTACTGGGGGGCGCTCACTGTAACAGCGGCGAGCCATGGGGTTTTGCAGGTCTTTCCTCTGCCATCACCCCCTGCTCAAGTTGCTGGGCTGGGGCTGCTGTTGGAGCCCCTCCTGCTACTACAGGTTTGCTGGAAGCTGCAAGAGCCCCTCCTCAGCGTGAAACCAGAAACCTTTTGTACAACCACTGTGCTCAGGAGGAAGCCCAAGTGATGGTTGTTGCTGCTAACCACAGCTTAGATTTAGGCTGAGCATGGCTTTTCCCAGAAAAAGCCCCCAGAAACTGGTTCCTCAGGCTGTGCTGCCCCCAGGGAAGCCCTGCTTTGCTCCATGTGGAGCTGGCACTGGGCTGGGCTCGTACGTGCTTCCTTCAACAGTTTGTTTTAAAGTTTACAGTTTGTATCTCCCGTGTCTGTGGTGTTTATGGGGTGATGCATGACACGGCCGAGGGGAGAACAGTCTGCATGGGACAGGGATAGGGCACCCAAGGCCATACCCCAGTCCCTCTTCCTGCAGCAGGCAGCACAGAGCCCCTTAGTGGCTTTTATCACTTGTCCAGGGGCCAGTTTGCAGGGGGAGGCCATAAACCAGACGGATTAGTCATGGGCTGGTGACAACATCCCCCTCCCAGTGACATCTGGCAATGCATCACTGCTTGCACATGTTGTCCCTCCTGCCATCCTGCTCCCTCCCTGCCCCAGGGGCCAACGGCCACTGCAGCACCAACCTCAAGGCATTGGGGGTACACACTGTTACCCCACCTGAAATGATGCCACAGCATAACCAGGCTCTTCATTAACTTAGTTTATTAGGGACGGCATTTTCATTGCTACAGTGTGCAACAGTCCCATGGAGAGGGCTCCAGCTGACACCCAGGGCAGCCCCTCGCTTTCCCTTACAAATGGCCAGTTCCAGTGTTACTCGTGGCAGTCAGTGCTGGGCAGCAGCATCAGTGCTGGGCACAACCCTGCTCTGGAGACCTCCACCAGGTTTGCAAGTCCTGCTGCTTCCAAAGTCCATGGCGGAGGGTGGAAACCACAAATAACCCCCAAATCCCTTCCCTCTTCTCTACAGGTGCTCAGTGCTTCTAGAAAGGGAGGGGGGCAGCCCCTCAGCTGCAGTCCCATGACATTAAAGTGCTTCAAACGAAACAGGGTGGATGGAGGTGTGCTGCTCAGGGGACTGGGGTGCCAGCTCCCGGCAGCAGCAAGAGGGCTTGACTTGGGGTGTTAGGTCCCAGTTCCAGTCTTCTGTCTGGTTCTTACATGGGGGCAAGACCAAGGTGGACCAGTACCTGGCAGCCCCAGGGTTTGCAGAGGCTGAGAGCGAGCAGGAGGGCAGCTGCTCCCCTGGAGTAAACAAGCAGAAGCAAGACAGGAGGAGGCAAAAACCATGGGGGACCAAGTGGGGAGCTGAACCCCCTTTCCAGGGCTAGACCTGACTTTGCCAGGACGCTGCAGGGCAGGGGAGAGATGCTGCCATGCAGCAGCCAGGCCCTCAGCAGTGAGGCTGCGGCCACCCTCCCCAAACAAGCCCCGTGGCCACCTCTCCTGCCCCTCAACCCTGCCACCCAGGGACAGCCCACGAGGGGTCACATCCCAGCCTCAAGCCAGGGCATGAGCTGCAAGAGCCATTGCCCCTAGATGCCTTCTGCCAGTGCATCACTCCCCGGTCCCTCAACACCCTTCTCGCACATACACAGGCCACACCGTCCTTCCAAACACCCCCACATCCCACCCATGACAGGTGGTGATGGATGCTCACCTGTGCCATGGGCTAGAGCATCCCCCTGCGATGCAGAGGCACCTCCTCGACCAACCGCTTAGCCCCAGAGCACAGAGCTCACCTTGTACCCCCAGGTCCTACCCCACGGAGCCATCGGTCGTGGCAGGCAGCTCTGCATCGCCAAGGGACTGACCCTTTGCAGCACCCCAGTTCCAAACCCCTCTCCCCCAGGCACCCCCCCAGTGCAAGCAGGCTGCCTGCCCACCCCACTGCATCGCAGCCGGAAGGACTCGAGGCTTTGCCTGGCTCAGGGAACCCCATCCCAAGGGGAGCAGGAGATCTGCTGGGAGCAGGGACACGTGGCAAACGCCAGCCCCATCCAGGGGTGAGGAACCAGGAGCAGGACAGCCCTGGAGGTTTTATACTGGTGAGTCCCAGGCAGATCGCATGTGCCCTGAAGAGGCATTTCAAGCAGCACCTCCTTGGACAGGGGGGAAACACAGTTAAAAATACAAACAACCACATTAAAAAAAAATAAAACCAAATCCAGCAGATTAAAAAAAACAAAAACCCAACTTAAAACAACAAACCGAGACACAGTTTTGGGGGATGCAGCCGGAGGGGCTGAGCCTTCGCCTGCATCCCGACAGGTCTCGGGCAGAAGGCAGCTGCACGCAAGGCAGGTCCTGGTGCCACCAGAATGAGGTCCCATGTCACCCTTGGAGGAGAACACGTCCCCCAGGGAGGACAGAAGAGCAGCATGAGGAGGAAGCAGGGTTGGAAGCCTTGCTTACTGCATCCTCCAACCGTGGGGATCTGCCTCCGCCGAAAGCCCAGCAGCGCCGGTCCCCTTGTGCGGCTGCTCCAGGGGAGCCCAGCCAGGGGTGGAGGGCAGGGAAAGCAGCTCAGCACAGACAGCACCCAGAGGAGAGGCAGAAAACTGCCATTTTCACCACCTGCCACCTCCTCTGCTCTGATCCCGGAGTGAGAGCAACTGCTCTCCGGCAGTGTCCCAAGCCAGATTTGAGAAAATGAGCTGTTAAATGTACAACCAACCCCAAACCCCCACCCTCTCCCTCCACGCACACAACCTCCAGCAGCAGGATATGGGAACGGAGGGCTCAGAGTGATTTCCCTCCTCCGAGGAGCAGACATGGCCAGAGCTTCCCAGTATCCAGCCGACGAGCAGAAAATGCCAACCCTCCGGAGGACTCTGCAGGGGAGGAGGGCATGGGGAGAGGCAGCTCAGCCCTGCCTGGTCCAGCATGAGTGACCGCTTGGAAAAGGCCCCTGTTGTGCCTGCAGGACAGGCAGGAGCAGCCGCCTTTCCCCAAGCAAAGGCATCGGGGAACGTGAGCAGCACCTGCAGCAGACCCACACGACGGAAGATGCCCCCTCCCCAGCACTGCTGCATAGGGGAAAACAGATCTCTTCGAGACAGTACTCCAGGCCACCTGATGGTCCTCCTCATCTCCAGTCCGCCTGGCTCAGTCTCTGGTGACGAAGGCCACGCGCATAAATAATCCCACGATCTGCTCCTCCGCACAACGTGCTCATGTGGCTGCCACCGCCTCTGGCTGCTCCAGCTCGTCTTCGTAGTCTGAGACGTAGGACTCCATGCTCTGCTTGGCCAGCAGCTCTCTCCGGGCTTGAAGCCGCTGGCAGCGGGGACAGTGGGTGGATTTGAAGCAGGATTTGTGGTAGCAGGCTTTGCAATCTGTGGGGGAGAGAAGGGCTGAGAGCTGGCCCAGGCTGACACAGGCTGCCTGACACTGCGTACCCTGGGAAGGGACGCTCCAGGTTTGCCCAGGAGGACATTTCAAACCAAAGCTGGGGCAGAAAAAGCACCAGAAGTGGGGGCCCAGCACCATTCTGGAAGCAGCAAGAAGTCACACTGCAGGGTCCCTGCACCAGCTTGCAAAGCCTTTGGGAGCACAGGCAGAAGGTTTCCCGCTCCGCGCAAGGTCCCACCCCAAACCTTCCTGATTCTCCAAGGAAACAGTGACTTTGCCCCAAGTTTCCTCTGGCACTGCACCTGCCAAAGCAAGGCTTCCATGTTGTCAGGAGCCATTTCAAGCCAGTTCAGAGGTTGGTCCCAAGCTGCAGGAACAAACTCTCCTTGCCCATTAGTACTGAGCGTTATCGAGGATGACTGCCGAAGAGGCCCAGGAATTTCTGGCAGGCAAGAAGGTCACAGAGACGAAGCCTTCAAGCTCTCTCTGCTTTACAAGGTCAGCTTCAGTCATCCAAGGAGGGGCAGGGGAACTGTGTGCAGGCTGCAGCTTGTTCTGCAACCACAGCAGAAGGGAAGCCAGGGCTTCCAGACACCCACTTGCTGCAGTCACAACCCAACTGCCCGCTGCCACCGGGGCAGGCAGCACACAGGGTGGACAAGAAGGGATCTACATGCTCCACTGTGCCAGCAACTCTGACCAAACACCGTTATAATGCTGATCTGCTGCTGGAATACCACAGTGCAGAGACACAGGCCACGCACAGAGGCAATCTGGTCTGGCTGGCTCTGGCTCTGTACCTCTGGCTAACACAAAGGCCACTCAAACTGAGGGCAGACCTTGGCGGCCCCAGGGTTTGTCCCCTCCCGGTTCCTCCCCAGCATCTCACCTTCACATGTCTTGCACTTGTTGAGCTCAAAGGGGAAGATGATGTCGTCCTCATTCTGGCAGAACTCGCAGATGAAGCCTTTGGCTTGGCACAGCTGGAAGAAGAAAATGTGAGGATAAAGCAGCTAAATGCTCCTCATCTCCCTGGCAAGCAGGGCAGGAGGCAGAGCAGAGAAGGACAGCAGGACACAGTGCCCTGTTCTAACCATGTGGGACAGTCCTTCCCCAGCATGGAGCACAGCAAGGCAGAATCAACATAGGTCAGGAGTGGGGAGAGCCAAAATGGGGTAAGAAACATCCCATATAACATCCCATATGTGCTGGGTAGGAGCTCTGTGGAGCAGGCAGGAGCAGTCAGCATTGAATGAGTTAATTTAGTGACTGCCCTCCACGTCAAAGGCCTGTCCATTGGTTATCTTAGCAGAAAAGTGTGCTCCCAGGAACGGTCCCGAGGGTGTCCCGAGGTCCCTCCCGCAAGAGGGAGGTGAGGAGGCCTTACCACGCATTTCTCAACGTGCAGGCTGCCTGCCTTCAGGAGCTCCGTCAGGCGAGGCACCAGGTCCCCTTTCTTCGTGGCACTGAGGTCACTCAGTGAGTAGAGGTGCAAATCCTCTGTCAAGTGGCCAGGCACCGCATCAAAGGAGTCTAGGAGGCTGCAAGGACAGAGAAACCAGAGCTCAGAGCAAAGCAACTCCACCAAGCCCCCTCTCTCCACCCCTTATGCTTTCTCTCCCCTTCCACTCCCCTCTCCCCCTGTTGCTCATTGCACAGGCTGCACAGATCCCCGGAGCAGACTGCCACGGGACAGACCCAGGACAGCAAAACAGCTTCATCCCACAGCCCAGAACTCACTCTTTAGCTAGCCGGCACGTCTTAAACATGTTCTTCATGTGGAAAAGCTGGATTCGCAGCAGCTGGAGAGGAAGGGGGGACACGAGAATCAGTAAGTAAGTAGAGCATGGTCCTTGGCCAAGCATGATCTGCCCCGTTTCCTGCGCTGGTGAAACGACTGCTGCTCCTCAGCTGCTGCTCCCCTGCTACCCAAGCATTTACAGCACACAGGGCAAAGAGAGCACAACCATCATCACGTGCTCCAGGAGATAAACTGAAGCCCAGCTGGGCGCCAGGCAGAAATTCCTTTTGAAATTCCTACGTTACTGTACAAGGAGCAAGACGTGAATGGAAACCCTGCAGTGCTGGGATTTTAAGCCTCAAAAACTGAAATATCTGCTTCTCCCCAACTTTCCTGGAATATGGTTTACAATCGGGACCCAAGCCCCACTCAGGAAGGGGTGGAAAGGGTCTTACCCACACTTGGTTGAGAGACTTCACTTTCCGGTACAGGGCAGGATTGATATCCTGCACATTGAAGAGCGGGTCACTCCAGATCTTGCTCAGCAGGTCTTTGGAGAAGTTGCTCACGTAGTATTTGCTGAAGTCCCACTTGCGCAGGATGCGGCTGGGGATGACCATCTGGGTGTTCTCGTGGCAGCACTGGCAGAAATACTTCCCCAGGTACTCGCAGTACCGCAGCCGCTTGATGTAATCTGGCCACACCAAGGCAGGAGGGAGGTCAGCCAAGGCACGGGCTGTGCCTGACCACGTACTGGACTCCCAACACTGCTCAGCATTTCCAACAAGTACGGCAGTCTGCCTTGCCAGTACCTCCTCCAAACCCAGAGCGCTCAACACTGCAAGCACCCTGGCTGACGGCAAAAGCCTGTGGGGCCACAGTCTGGTCTTGTGCAGCCACATCTACCTACACATTCAGGGAAGACAGCTGGTCAAAGAGCTTTGCAGCTGTACCCACAGCAGAACCTGCTGGGAGCTTTAGGACTGCAACAGGTGACTTTGCCTTAGAAGAGTCAACACCTGAAATGCGCTCCAAAGGACAGGCTGGCTGCTCTTTACCTCCATCAGCTCCGTGACCTTCTGGATGGTGCACACCAACGTGCAGGTAGAGCTGGCAAAGGCAGTGTGCCATTTCCCCAGGGGCCTTGTGCTGAGCTCTGCCACCACCCACCCTGCATCTTCCCACTTGTTCACAGGTTGTTCCCCACTCTCTAGCTACGGGTCAGGGTTCCAGCACTCACCAGGATCACATCGGTTGCCACAGCCTGCACACCGGTAATTCTGCTTGGCCACGGCCACCTTCCTCCTGCCCAGAGACAGATGACTCATGTTGAGTCCAGCCCTGATGGCACCTGACACCAGAGGACGGGCACTGGCACAGGGCTGGATGGCACAGATGGACATATGCTGTGCCACTTAAGTGTCAGCAACAATGCCAAGGGGACAACCAAGCCCTGTTGTGCCCTGGTGCACACCAAAGGCACCGACTGCAAACACCGGCTCCATCTCACTGCACCAGCTGCTGGTGGTGACCACTGTGGATTTACCAGGCTCACAACAGGGAAGCCCCACAGCCAAGAGGGAAGGAGAGGTTTATCAACTTTGGCGTTGATGGCAAAGGGTTGGGAAGGGCAGGTCCCCAGAGAGCACCCCGGTCGCACAGGTCCTTACGTTGGAGCTGGGTGAATATTGAAGATGATCTGTGGTCGTGGTGGGGCCCACTCCAGGTTTCCGCGCACCCGAATCCTCAGCTTGTAGATGTCGGCATGTTCTCCATCGTCGGGAGAGATGGGCAGAGAGTCAGGGATGGGCAGGAGCTGGGAGAGGCAGGCAAGAGGGTCAGATCCCAACCTGGTACCACAAAGGCAATGTGCCTGGCTGGCTTTCCAGAAACCTGCAATTGCAGCACTCTGGAAAACTGCCAGGCACCAAGCTGCTGCTCCAGCTGAACAGGGGCTGGAGAAGGGATGTTCCCAGGGATCCGGGCACTCTGCTGTAGGAAGGTCCAGTGGCAGAGCCCCCCTTGGCTGCACCCATCTCCCAGAAAAAACCTGTCCTCCAGCTCCACAAAGGGATCACGGGGATGAGCAAATCCCCTGGGTAGTGGGCTGAAGCCAGGGGTTCAGGGAAGAGTGACCAAATGCAGTCGGTGACGGGACACTCACACCCCTACCTTCTGCGGGGCGTCATGCTCAGGGACCAGCCACTCCAATTCAGAGGCAGCTGGGAGCTGCATGCCCTCAAACTGCTTCAGCAAGCCCATGGCCACAGCCTCCGCCGAGTTGGAATTGAGGAAGGAGTGGGATCTAGACAGCAAAGGGAACAGTTAGTATCGGGTCGCACGGCTGTGACCTCTTCACAACCCCTGGTGCCAGTCCCAGCTCAAGCCGAAGATGCTCCCTTCAACTCTGGTACCTTATTTCCACACTGCTATCAGGCTTATAATTGAGATACATGACTGATTTCTGTCTTTGCAGCTGGCCCCAAGCAAAACTGGCTAATGGCACAACAACAACTGTTTAGAAAGGCAAGAAAAGCATATCTTACCGAAGGAAACCTCTGCCTGTTTGCAGGGGAAGCTGCAAAGTGAGAGCCAGTGTCTGTACGAGCCAGAAGTAATCGCCCTCCCAGTACGAACCTACCCAAGAAGCTGCCAAGCACAGACATGGCTTTTTATCCCACCCAAAGAGCAGAGGGGTCCCCACATCCCAAAGGGGTTTTGCTTTTAGAGCATTTTGCTTTTAGAGCTGCGCTTAAAACAGGCTGTGATTCACCTCCCCACAGCCCCCACCTCTCCAGCCCAGGGCAGTTACCAGGAAAGGACTGAGCATTTCATGTCTCAACTGCTGCTGCACTGCAGAGAGAGTCTGTGCATCGCTGAGTGCCAGCTGTTCCACATCTGGGCCACAGCACAGCAGCAAGGGCTGGGGAGAAGGTGGCAGCATCATATAGTCTAACAGGCCACCCCAGCTGAGAGGGGGGAGGCAGGGGAGGCTGAGAGCCAGCAGCAAGCCAGTAGCCACTCCAGATGCTTCAGGTCATGCCAGGTCCTCTCCCCAGCCTCTTACCTACTAGGAGATACGGGCATCTCTCCTGACACCAGTCCACATCTACCTGATGTGAACAACTCGATCATCCCAGGTGCTGCTTCCCAAATTTCAGACTAGTTACCAGTGCCTCACTGCTAAGTAAAGGGATGGAGGGAGGAACGGAAGGAGGGAGGGATGTCCACTCTCATGCAAAACAGCAGCTGATGCATGTGGACGAGCAGAGTTGGGCAGGAAGGGGAACGTGGTACCAAGATGTCTCGCCACAAAGTTGAAGACGTACATGGACTCTGAGGAGAGGAAGGACTTCCTGCTGGAGTCTGGGTTCCTCTTGATGTCCGCATCTGAATCACAAACAGACAAGGTGGAGCAGATGGAGCAGGGCAGGGGAATACACTCATTTCAAACCAAAGCTTCACTGTAAAACTCATCAAGCTGTTCAAAAGCACATGAACTACAGCATCAACCTCTACCAGTAGCACAGAGCAGCAGGGAGAGGTGCAGTCTAATCAGTTGCCTGTTGGAAGTTACAACGGAAGGACACGGTGGGATGCTGTGAGAACAGTGAACCTGGGGTTTGGGTGAGACAAGTGGCTGCTGGTACAGGTCACACACCAAGTCCTAGTAGTGACATGGCCTGAAACAGTACGCACACAGGAGCTAGGAGGGCAGGACAGCAAGGTTAGCAAGAAGGTTTAGTAGCTCTCTACACACGGTGTTGATGCCGCAGGGGATTAGCAATGGGATGCAGAGCCCTCCTCTCTACTCGGCTGCAACCTCCAAGATCAAGTGGTGGCCATGCCACAGCTTGTCAGCGACGGCACAGCCGGGGCTGGCAGCCTAAGCCCAGCACTCCAGGGACACGTCAGCATCCACCTTGGTGCCAGCTTTGGGTACCAGGCAGTACCCAGTGGTACCTTCATCAGTCATCTCTGTGCTTCACTCCAACAGGTTTCTCTGCTAAACCCTAACAGGGAATTCTTCTGAAGGGTGGAAGGACCCCAAGACAGGAGGCTCCTCCAGCAGTACAAGATGGTCAGAAGCAGGCAAAACCCCTGCTTCGTTACAGACTCCCAGAAACAGGAAGGCAGGCACACGAGGGGAAAGTATTTAAAGTCAAGAAAGAAGAGGCCAACGCCACAACCTTCAGCCCTGCAGGTCTCCTTTTCTGTACCTCTGGGGAGCTCTAGGAACGGGGTCTGCAGCGACCACACTATCCCCCAACACAGGCTTGCAGCTCCCCCGACCTGGTGGTGGGACACAGCTCGGGGTCCCTGCTCCTCCACCCCAAGCAGGTCGGCTACATGGACCCTCAAAGAGCCCAGCTGATCCTGGCCAGGCACCAACTGCACACTGAGACCGGTGAATTGCAGCCTGGCTGAGCAAAGGGTGTCCCCCTCCCCGAGCCACTGGGTCCCTCAGGAAGAGTGGGGCTGCCCTGGCAACAAGGGGAGCAACTCCCAGCCCTGCCCATAAATTCACAGGCTCACACCAGTGGAGTTCAGCATAGATGCTTGACCCTCCTGGTGTGACATCCATTGCTAGAAACAGGCAGAGGAAAGCATCCTAAGGCTCAGGAATCCACATATCTACATCACACGAACAGACTTTTAGCAGCAAAAAACAGGGAATTCAGGCAAATACAGCCTCTCAACCACGTGGGGCTCTGGCCAGACATACCTGCCATGCTCTGGTGCCTTCAGCTCTGCGCAAGAAGGTACCACATGGTCCTAGACTACGATGAACATGAGCAAATAGCGGGGGACACACAGCACAGCGTTACAGGGAGGCAGAGACGACATACTCGGGCACTGGCATCATCTCAGGGATGGCAGAGGGAGCCAAATCTGACCCTAGGCTCCTTTTGGGGGCTAGGACTGGGATCTGGCCACCGCTCGCTTCCCAACCTTAACTGCAGACACTCCCCAAAAGCCTCCAGTCAGCTGCCCAAAACGCCTCTGCTGACAATGCTTTCACCAGGTGGGACAGTCCCCAGGGAGCTCGTGAGCAGCTCCCAAGCCTAAGGACATCACCCTAGCCCCTGCATGCCAGCTTCAGGCCACCATGAGCCCCCCTGGATTAAATCCCTGTAAGCACAGGACACAGCTGGGCTGACAGGGAAGCTCTGAGCACCAGTATCTCCAGCAGGAGCAACGTGCTGGCACGCTGAACATCTGACAGGAGAGATCAGCAGCAGCCCCTGTAGGCTGTTCCCTTGCTAAAGCAAACAGGGAGCACATGAAGGTTATTTAAATGCGGCCAGCAGACCGGAAGGATTATCTAATAGTACCATAAACCATAAAAACATTAAGCAAGACCTGGCTGCCCACGATGATCCTGGTGCCCAGGGCCCCCACTGTGAACAAACCGCCTGTGCCCTGTCTGCTCTCACTACTTTTCCCTCCAGGCTTCTTTGTGGAAGGATTCTTCTCCCAGTCAAGTCTGGGCAGGACGGGAAGGGTTGGCCATGGTTCAGATCAGAGCTGTAGAGCTATGGCATGCCAGCTCTGCAGAGTCAAGTGGGGTAATGCTCCCCAAGGCACCTGGGATGGAGACCTGGTCCCACACTGCAGAGGACTCTGCTCTCATCCAGCCCAGGCTCAGCCTCCAGCAGTTACAGAGCTGTGGAGCTGTGCCACTGCCCCACTGAGCCCTGTCCCAGGCAAAACAGGTCTTCACCACAGCAGGCACATTTGGTTTATCCAAAATACTGCACGGATATCCAAAACCCGCTTGGAGGATGGAGCTCCTCTGCCTCCTCTCTGCTCCCTCCTGCCATATCATCCTGCCACGGCTTTTCTTGCTGACGTCTGGATGATACTGTTCACAGTTCCCAAATCAGGCGGGTTTCTGAGAAGTGTGCACGTGCACACACACACGCACACACACCTTGCACACACAGGCACGCATGCCGCAGGGGAGCACTGCGGGGTACTACCTGAGAACAAGGAAGCCATTGACACTGAGAGGCCGTTCTTGGACATTTGAATCAGGTTAGATCCATCGTTACCATCTGTATGACACGGTGATGACAAAACAGTTGACTTCAGTGCTTTGGCCAGGCCAAAGAGAAAGGGCATAATACAAGAGCAGCACTCGCACGAGAGAAGCCCAGAACTGAATTCACACGCCCCTCTGCGGGCCTCAAAACTGAGCCCAAAATCTAGCCCTTGGGGACTGAAAGGAAGACTTTGCTGTCAAAAGTCAAGAGATGAGAAGTTTATAGCTGCAGAATGGACTGCTCCACCTTTTTTTTAGCGTCAGTGAGCTGGAGGTACTGCTGAGAATTAAGTCATCCACCTCAGAGGACCAACAAGGCTCTAAAGGAAAGGGACACCCAGGGACCTAGACAGGTCTCCTGTGGGTGATAAGCTCAGCCACCCAAGCTGGCAGGAGCAGGGACCACAGCTATTACAGGTCAGGATGTGACCAGCACCCACCACTGCCACCCAACAGATAAGTGACCAGAGCTATGGCTCCTTCTGCCTGGGGAGGAGGAGAGCAGGATAGCAGTTCTCCCACCTCTCTCTAGCTGTGACAGCCGCTGTGTGGACCAGGCATTGACATGGAAACCACCTACCAGCCAGAGGCACTGAATGCTAGAGGGTTACAGAGGACTTTGAAGTCATGCCACCAAAGGAGGGAAAACAATTGACCTGCCTGTGCTCAGAATGCAGCCATCTGTTTGGGAAAAGCCATCCTGAAGGCCAGAGGGACATGCTCTTCTTCAGCGGGACTGACCTCAACACAACCACATCAAGATGAACTCTGTCTCTACACAAGAAGCTAAGGCAGCCATTCCCTCCTACCTCGGATTTCGTACTCTTCAACATCCTCTGCGGAGCCAGAGTCGGAGAGCCGCATGGAGCCATGGGAGCTGAACTGGGACCCGCTGTCCGTCGCCACGAGACCTGGGAGAAATGCAACACAGCCAGCCATCAGTGGAAGTGCTCTGAAGGGTCACTGACAGCTAAGGGAGAAGCTGATCGGTATGGCCAGGGTGGGGAGGGATGGAAAACACTGTGGGTTCACAATGAAATTACGTTCCATAACTCAGTGCCAGCAGCACACAAGTGTTATCAATGTATAGAATCAGTCCCATTATGGTCTTCAACAGCAGCAGAGCTTCACGAATCTCTGCAGCACCTTGGTAGCAATACAATTGTTTCCCATGAACAGGCAGAAAGGCAGGATGCCATAAAGAGAGGCAACAAACAAAAACCCCACATCCCACCAGCTGATGAGCCCAAAACACATCACCCACTGTCTGAGCCCATCTCCTGGCAGGTAGGGATCAGGTGCCTGGTGCGGATCTGCTGGCGCCGGATACGAATCTTTTGTTTAAGCTCCTGGATCTCCTTGTCACTGTCTTCCTCCTCCTCCTCCAGCTGCCGGCTCATCATGTTGCATTTCATCAGCTCAATGGCAGCGATCAGGGACTCAGAGATGCTGAAGTGGGCATTCTCCTGCAAGGCAAAGAGGAAAAGCATTCATGGAAGACTTGGTAAAATCTTATTCCTCACCTGTGACAGTAAAGAGCTGACCACTCATGAAGGGTGGTAGAAAGACCCTGTCGACCCTACAAAACCTGACTCTTCTATGAGGACCTATAAACCAAAACTTTCTTGGGCACCAGGATATTCACAAAGTACAAGGGGCATCCTATGAACACATCCGCTCTGAGGAATCGGCACATGTCCCTGAGGAGTCCTAACATGTTGCAAAGCTGCTGTGTACATGCTGGATGGGCAGATGCTGCCTGCCAGATGCCACTGAGGAACTCAACCTTGAAGTTCCGTGCACAGCTATGGGATATCTCCCCACAGAGGGAAGCATCACTGAACCTGCAGTAAGATACTTTGTCCAACACACAAAGACGGCTGCTGCCTCCCTCACCTTCTCCAGGTCTGCACAGCTGCCAAAGTCCTGCTCAGACAGGTAGCTGATGAGGGACTGCCCTTCCGAGGGTCTTCTGAACATCCCTTCCCCCGAACTCAGGTACTGTCCAGAGTCTAGAAAAGCAAGAGAAAAACCTATGAGGGATGGACGGACCTGCTGCTGTCCCCATGCTAATGAGCCCTGCCAGTGCCCAACCAGCATCCTACAGGCAAGTGCCAGAAGCTGAGGCCACTGCAGCCAATGGAGGAGGTTGACCAGGAGCAAGGGTTCCTCTGAGGCTGGCTGTACTCACCATACTCCATGTAGAGGGAGCTGGGTGTGCTCAGCTCACTGCTCTGGGTGGAAGCAGAGATGGGCCCTCTCCCTCCACCTGAATCACCATGGGACTCTGGAAGGGAAGATGACACCAGGCACACATCAGTATCCTGGAGGCACCCAGCCACTGCACAGGGTGAAATGAAAGGGGCTCAGCATCACACAGGCAGGCACAAATGGATGAGAAGCAAGGAGGGACATCTTCCTCCTCCATGCCATGGCTGAGGGTAAGCCTGGGAGGGGAAAAAACTAGAAAAACATTTCAGGCAGGAGAGGAGAAGGGGAAAGAAGGAGAGAAGCTCATGAGAGCCATGGAGCAGTCGAGTCCTGAGCCTTCCTCTCTTTATCTCCTAGCAGAGCTGGGGGACACAACACACTCCAGCAAGCGCCTCTGCCAGCCCCTTCTTCCTGCTGGAGCATCTCCGAGGGAAGAGTTATCCCCAGGGCAGAGGCAGGAGACAAGGAAAAACCTAAGCAGCCAAGGGACCTGTGAGGCTCCCAGCCCTGCAAAGCAGCCTGGACAACAGCGGGAGGAGGCATCTGAAGGGCATGCTCTTGCTCCACTAGAAGCCAGGCTTCCCTGCACACAACCCTGCAGTGCTCAAGGTGACCTACATGGGCTGTGGGCAAGGCTCTGCCCCATGCACACAGAGCAGTGCAACTCCCTGCCGGGCTGAACCAGCGTGGGCTGCCAGGAGCTGGCCTGACCGGAGACCAGCAACGGCTGGTGCTCCATGGAGAGTCACGGCCCTGGGGAGCGCCCAGATGGAGCAGCTGAAGGAGACTGAAAACACCCTTTCCAGAGCTTACAGGTGTGGACACTGAACAGGCAACAGCCAACATCCATCCTTTCCACCTCCTACTCCTCTTTGCTCCCAGCTTTGTGCCCTGACGTGGCTGGAGGCTCCCAAGCCCACCAACCACAGCACCTCCCTGAAGCATGCCCATGAAGCAGCAGCCACCAGTATGGGGCTTAGGACCAATCCACCCCACAGGGTGGGTGACAAAGAAGACCCATTGGGGTGGACAGCTTTCATGGACAGTCACTACAGCCCGGCAGGTCTCCCACAGCCACCTCAACCCTGGTGAAAACCACCATGGAAACCACCTCATGATCACCCGAGTGCCGATTCCTTCTGCACTTGGGGCAAAGAGATGGCAGCACTCCAGCACCTCTCCTCGGAGGAAACCTGCCCTGAGCTCAGAAGAGCACCCAAGAGTCCTGGCTGTGGGTGCAAGCACAGCTGAACTCAGCCAACATCAAACCTCCCGGTGCCACAGGACCACTAAATGAAAGGAGAAATAAGATGTTCAAGCCCACACCTGCTTAGCTGCCAGGCCCTATTGGCTAGGTTAGAGATGAAACCTCCCCTGATTCCTGAGGCAGTGGGGTGGAGGGAAGGCCAGGGCAGGGGACACAGCTCGGGGACTTTGGTGGCCAGCGCTCCCTAATGCCATGCAGGGGAGCTGAGCACCCTTCTGTGTCTGGTCCACTGCTCCCAAAAACCAAGCTGGGATCTTCAATCAGGTTGCATGCATAAACCTGACCACGCTTCAAAGCACCAGCTGGGACACAGGGAAGAAATAATTTTTTTGGTTTTCTAAATGGACACTAATGGGTTGATGGAAATCCTGAACTTGATGCAATGATCACTAATGAAGGGCTGTTATGCTGGCTCCCAAACCTGCCACTGGATCTTCTATTATAATGGTGATATCCCTGAGGCCTCCTGGCCAGACAGAGGAGGAAGAGAGCAGCGTTAAGGGAGAGAAAACAAAGACAGACTGGTTACTACTCAGCGAGGATCTCCACCTTCTCCCATGAAGGCAGCACCAGTGGGACAGACTCCCACAAACTGGTTGTCCCCTCACATCCCGCTCCCCCCGACCCCATGCACTCATCCGCTGAAGAGCACAGGAGGACCCAGCAGGTTACCAGTAGGATGACATCCTATCAGTAGGATGACCCCAAACCCTAGCCCAGTGCCCTGCCATAGTCCTACGTCCCAGCCAGGCAAGGTCAGTGGGGAAGCAGGGTGGCTAAAGCCACAGCATCACTGCCATTTTCTAAGTTTTTGGAAAAAGCTGCCAATACCAGTAACAGACCGGACTGGGGTATTCTGGGAAGCAAGATGTCAGCCCATCACTCCAGTGTGGAGCAGGAAAGCTAAAGGCAAAACCCAAACTTCCCAACCACTCGCCCACTGTTCCCCTCATTAACCCGATCCATGGAGTCAAAGGGGTGGCCAGCATCAGCCTCCAGGTACCAGGGACTCCCACACCCCAAAGCCATCACAGAAAATTCATGCCATTACCATGCAACTTGCCCGAAGCCACGTTGGTGTCAGAGTGCGAGCGCACGTGGCTCTTCTTGAGGATGCCCTGAGGAGCTGACTGTCCCTCTGAGAAGCTGGACCGGCGCAACAGGCTCAGGCCCCTGCTTCCACCTCCACTCGCCCCCTGCTCCCCTATGGACGAGACCGAGTCCAGCTTCTGGGAGCTGCTGGAGGAGAAGAGTTTGGAGCTGCTGCTCTTGGTGCTGTTGGTGCTGGCGCTGCTGCACGCCCGGCCCCGGCGCCCCAAGTTCCCAATGGCCAGGTACTCAGGCCCATCATTAGCATCGCTCTGCGGATCATCCTGACTCCCCGTCCAAGTATCCTCGCTCTGACTGGTGGTGCTGGAGCTCATCTCGTTGGCCGGAGAGAAGGGGTCTTTGGATGAGGGGACGTGGGAGCAGGTGGCAGAACCAGGCTGCTCCAGAGGGGACCTGCTGTCGCTGAAGGAGGAGGACCGAGTGGATGGACAGGGCTCCTGGGGCTGACTAGAGCTGGAGCTGATGGAGGAGCTCGCTGGTCTCCTGTCTGGAGAGAGATAGGAGCAGGATGTCACACACCCTGGCACAAGCAGACCACTCTTATTGCTTGTGGCTTCACACTGGCATGCCCACCCACCACGGGCAAAAGCCAGGGATCACCTTCCCAGCACGGGCAGGGATCTTCTCACACCCACCCAGCAAGACCAGAAAAAAAGGCAGTCTTTTTTGGGTCTATCCTGGGCTTCCCAGCCCACCCTTGTTACCTGAGAGGCCAGAGGAGGTTGGATGGTGGAGGCTGGAGAAGGACCCAAAGCAGCGCTGCTGTGTGCATCCTGCAGCGGGGACGTACGGGGACGCGGGGAGGGCAGTCAGGCTCTGACTCTTGGTCACCAGGGGTGGTCCGTCATTCTTCCTGGTAAGCTGCAGAGAGGTGGCACAGTTATAAATCAGCATTTATGGGGCTACACATCAAAGGAGCAGCAACAGAAAGGAATCGACCTGCCAGTGCCTGGTCACCAGCCAGCAAAGGATGCGGCAGGAGGGAGCAGGAGGATGGGGAGGGAAAAATTCCACAGGGAAGGGGCCTTTTGTTGGCAGCTACATGGCAGGCTCCTGTCGGGACATTACCAGGCTCTCAGTGTAACGATCCAGGCAGCCCAGCGCCCCAGGCAGATGGCTCTCCTGTCCTTCAGCGTTGAGGTCACACATGTCTCTTATCCCAGCAGAAGGACCTGATGCGCACAGGGATGGCAGTGACGTGCCGGCCAGCTGAAAGAACACAGCCCCCATTTAACAAAGCCTCATTAATTGCCTTCCTCTGGGGAGCTCTGCGCAAAGAAAGCAGCCGCTGTTCCCTCCTCTGGAGAGGAGGCAGCTGGCACGGGACTGCACTGGGGGTCAGTGGCGTCACCAGCAGCAGTGGGCACCCAAGTGTCCTGGGAAGCTGCTCATCCCCTCTGAGAGTGGGTGTCTCTCACAACCAGCCAGCTCTGCTTGCTGGCCCTGAAGCCTGGGATCACTGGAGAGGGCTTTAGAGGTGCCTCTTACAAGGAACCGGTCCTCAGGTCCTCATACTCAAATCCTTGATGCCAGTCAGAAGCGAGGTGCCCCACTCCAGGCTCCCCACAGCCATCTCCCAGACCCTGACCCCCACCAGGCTCACAGAGTCACAGAGTTCACCACTCTCCTCCCCTCTTGGAGCTCCTTTTGCTACTTCCAAGTCCAGCCCCTTGTCCAAGGGCTCTGTGTGCCCTGAATGAGACCTCATCTGAGTAGCCACAGCCAGCCAGCGCCTAAGGAGAGAGCCAGATGGAAAAGCTGGGACCTCAACTCACCATGGAGGTGTCGATCTGAGCCAGAAGCCTGGGGTTGTTCTGCTCGACAGCCTCCAGGCACTGCAGCATGGCCGTGACATGGGCATCACTGAGCAGGAAGGCAGTGTCTGGGGAGAGAAAACGGCTGCTCAGGGGGGTCCCTCTCACCCACATGGTTTGACAGTGCCGACTGCTCACAGGCAAACCACCTTTTTTTGCCGTCCCCTCTCACTCCCCTCAATCACTTGGAAACACCACTAGCTACGTATTTTCCTAATAAGAAGGGAAAAGGCCCGCTTCTCCTTACCTGCGTAGAATTTCCGGATGTACTGGTGGTTCCCCAGGAGCGGTCTCAGCTGAGCTGACAGGCAGTGGCACTGCAGGCTGTGCTGCAGCCACAGCTGGGCGATGGCCTGGTCCCCCTCTGGGTCGGGCTGGCCACTCTCCTGCAGGCTGATGAACTGGAAAGGGACGCCAGGCACAGGTTAAGGCATGCAAAGGGGTTGCTCCACCACACAGCTGTGGTTTTCCACCCCAATAACAGCAGCTTTCCAGTGCTGGTCACCATCAGCGGGAAAAAGGACACATCCCAGCAGCTCCCCAGCCACCAGGGAGGCAAAAGCACAGGGGAGGAACAAGGCATCAAAGGTCAGCTGGTGATCAAAGTCCTCTGACAGTCACCAGCACTGCGAATTTCTCCTGCACGCTCTGCCACCCCTGTGCCTCGCCCCTGACCTGGAAGGACCTCACACTCCCAAATTCAACCCAACCCCAGTGGCAATGGTCGTGTTCTTGCTGACACATTAACCGGGGAAGGTGAACACCTGAGCTGCTGCAGCTTGAAAAGCTAGACTGGAGTCACACCACGTCCCACCAGCAGCAGGTTGGACATAGGGACCACCAGTGGTCAGCCCCTGTGCCCCTGGTGGGGGCTATGGATGTTGGCGTGGAGCAGCCAAGGACTGAGAGCATCCCCATGTACCAGCAGTCAGCACCAGCCAGGAAGAGGAGAACCAAATGCATGGTCAAGGCACGACCCAGAAATGGGACAGCCCAGGGTTTTAGAGGTTTGCAGAGAGGCGTGAATCACCCCTGTGCACACACAAGCGCCGCTTGTGCCCGTTCCCTTGGTGATGCCCGCTGCAGCCGGCCCAGCCGAGCTGGAGACTGGCCTGGGAGAAATAAGCAGCCAATTGTCTCAGCACAAGCCACGCCAAGTTCCCAGGACGTGGCTTGTACACAAACACACGGCTCCTTCAGCCTCCAGAAGCCATGGAGCCGCTTTACCCAGGGCAGGCCAACAACCAAGGCACCACTATCCCAACCGGTGAGGCTCACAGCCCAGCTGCCCTCTCCCCTCCCCACTGGGCACACAAGGCCCCCCTGCCAGAACCCACCTTCTCCAGGTGATGAGCAGAGCCAGGGCTCAGCCGGCGAATGTCCTTCACGAACTGCCAGTAGTCCTTCTGTCTGCAGCACACCTGCCCAGGACAGGCACAGTTAGGTACCACCACTCGAATCCCAGTTAAATGACAACATCCCTCATTAGCTCCTTGCTACCATGAGAGGACAGTCCCTAAACTTGGCAAAATGGGGCAGAAAATAGAGGAAGAGCAGCACTGCTCTACAGAGGAGAAACAATGCAGGTGTGTAATACGGTTCTGTAGATCAAGGGACCAAGTCAAAAGCACTAGCTTCATGTAGGTAATTTGTCTCCTGCCTCTCCCACAGTGACCTCTCAGTTGTGGTCAGCCCACAAATTAACCAGAAAACAGATCCCTCGAGCTTCTCTTCCTCCACCAGGTCAGATCCCAGTCCATCGTGCCGCAGAGACAGGAGAGTCTTAGGGAACGGACCTCAGGTGCCAGCTGCACCTACAGCAAAGTGTGTCTGGGGGCTCAGCTCTGCCCGAGTCCTCCCAATCACTCTGGGCAGTGTTACGTATTTATCCCTGCTCCTCTGAAGGTCTGCCAAGTTCAAGGTTGACCAAGTTTCCACGTTGCTGTTCCCCTTCCTGCTGGAGCAGGACCTGGAGGGGAGCCCTGGCGCCTCAGCACTGCAGAGAGTCAGATCTCAGTGAGGGGGGCACCAAGGACAACGTGGAAACACAACCTAGAAAAAACAGCAACCACTGCTGTCTTCTGATGCAAGCCACCACCGAGGACACCAGCAGGGCTGAGCACTCCAGGTAAGAACTTTGGTGCTGCCTTTCTACCAGCTCTCTGCCCCAGCTTCATTCAGACAATGAGCTATTTTGTTCTTAGCTCTTCTTCCCCTTAAAGAGGAACTGCAGCAGAGTTGCTGTTTTTCTCACCACCCTATCGGGTGTAAACATAGCCCCAAAATATCTCTCTTGGCCAAAAAGCTGATTATTTTTTCTTCCATTCCTGTTTCCTCTTTTCAGAGGCATTAGACGAATGGGTTCTGCTTTGTGGTTTATTTCTTGGGGTGGGGGGTGGTTTGGTTTTTCAAGACTAGAGAACTAACATTGCAATTTTAGTCCTCTAGATTGAATTGGGGTTTTCTGGACAAATCAAATTCACTCAAACGTTTTAAAACTTCTTGCCCGAGTTCTCTTAAAATGTACATATGGATTTTTTTCTTTATTTATTCCCAGTTGTAGGAAAAAAAGTTGATAAGAAAACAACATGTAAAAGGAAGTGTTGTGCTTCTAACACTAAAAATTGCTGTTAGGAAGCCGTATTTTTACAGGCCTTCCTTTGCAGCTCTTATTGCTGGATTGGTGTCACGTGTCCCTAGATAATGGAGACATTTCCAAGTAAAAGAGCTGCCTTTGCCTATAGTAAAAGCGTCGAGGAAGGCAACACATCATCCTGCTTTGCGAGTCTGGCACAAAGTGTTACTAATAGACAGCCAAGTATAAATTATTTAAATCTCACTTCCCGAAGCCTATTAATAGCGTGTCTATCAGAAGGGAGCACTGCACTCCTTACATGTGAAAGGCAGCTTCTCTCTCTGCAGATCTCCCAAAGAAGGTCCCTGGTCCACGCCACTGGGGACTAAAGGGAACAGAGCAGCAGGACAACGAGCTCTGACTGCAAACTTAACTCCGGGGAGCAAAACACCTTGCTGGGACAACCTGCCAGCCTGGCTCTTCCCAGAGGCTGATTAGCTCGGGTGCAGCATTGCATAGACACAGTTCCCCTGCTCCTGGACCCAGGTGGCCCTCTCGAGCTGCCTGGGGCTCCTCTGCATCGCTCTCTGGGTGGCAGAGGAGCCGAGGGGAAGCCTGCCCTCCGGCGTGCCCTCTGGACTTGCTTCAACTTCCCACTGTAAATTAATTGCGCTGGTAATTGTAAGCTGAAGGGGAGACCTTCAGTCTTCTGCACACAAGTGGGAAAGAGAAATTCTTCCAGGCAGGCTTGGAAAGGGGGACCGGCTGGGTGAGCAACTGCAGGGCACAACGAGAGCCTGGAAAGAGAGATCCCATTCACGCAGAGTGCGGATTTGGCTGCAGCTCCTGTTACTGACCCAGCTAACCAGCAACAGTAAAGACACCAGGTTTCTCTTGCCAAGCCTCGCCGGGGAGTCGTCCAAGTGCAGATGATACGGGGGCTGACTCATTGCAAATGCAACTTTATCACTTGGCTGCAGCAGGAAGAAAGGAGAGAAGGGCTGGCCCCAGCGCAGGGGACACAGGGACTTCAAAAAACCCCACTGAAGATGGATGAGGGAGAAAGGCCACGTACCCAGGTCCCTCTGACAACCACAGTAGTTGCCCAAGGAAGCTCAGTCCCTGCTTCGATCACCTCCCACGCTGCTACCAGTGTTGTACCCACTCCGTGCTACGAGCACCAAAGCCAGCCACAGCAGATAGGACTGTCCCACCGCCTCATGAGAGGCACCAAAGCTGTGACAGACAGACAGCCGTTCTGGCAGGACAGAGCCCCACCTTGTCATGGATGAGCCCGTGGTAGAGGATGCTGTGCATGTCTCTGCAAAGCCGTTCCAAGCCGCCATACTTGGACCAGACATTCGGGTTGCTGGTGGACACCAAACCTTCCACTGTGGTCTTCAAGTTGCCTAGCAGCTTCCAATGCTCCTTCCTGCAGAGGAACACAGCAAGTTGCATCAGGGATACAGCAAGAGGAGCTTCACAACAAGACCACAGTATTGCACTCTCTCCAAGGAGGCTCTGATCAGGCTGAAACCTTTAGTGGCTCAGAAGCGAGCAAAGGTGAGTTAAAGGACTTCACACCTCCCTGTGGTCTCCCATTCATGGTTTGTGGACAAAAGGCTGTATCGTAATGATTCTTGTGATGACAGGTAGCCACCACCAACATGGTCCCTTCAGGAGACAGCCAGAACAAAGACTGATGGTTCCTGCAATATACCATTTGCTTAGCAAAGGGCCTACAAAGCTGGAGGACATCTTTCCAGCCAACCTCTTGCTTGCTTCACTCACGTGCTCTACCAGAGACTGCTCAGAGCAGCAGCCAGTCTGCAGCACAGCAGCTGGAAGGCAACAGCATGATGTCCACCACATCTAGCAGACACTGGCCGCGCTGCACCCACATTTACAGACAGCAGCGCTCCCCAAGCAATGTGCCCTGCACTGAGCACTCCAGCACCGTCTGGATGCAGAGGTGGTCCACTCCAAGGCTGGAAACTCTTCATTTGCACCTCCATTTGTGCAGGGTCTGGTCAACCCTGAGCTCTTGGAGGCTCAAGTTGACTTTCTCCTAAGTGTTCATCATGTTCTGGACAGAGATTATCAAACTGCAAACTGCAGGTGTGCTCTAGAGCTTGCACAGCATTTCTCATTAATGTCACCCCCCTCGGCTACCCTGCACACAGGGTACAGCAAGGAATCATCATTATCTGCCAGAAAGCAGGAGTGATGCCTGCAGAGAGGTAGCGTCATTTGCCTATGCAAAAGCAGCTTTGGGGAAGGAAGCTGTGGATGACTGAGGTCCCTGCTCAAGCTGCTTGACAGTGTTGCCAGAGGAACAGCAACCGTCAGAAACACACATTCAGACAGGAGCCACCCTCTCAGAAGCAACACACCAAAAAATATGCCTCTGCAGGGTTTGTAACAAAATCACCCCGGGGTGACAGCTTAAAATGAAAGTCCAACCTTTCAACTGGCAAGAAACAAGCCAAGGTGTTTCAGCTGTTAATCCCTCCCACAGCCAAAACCAAATTGGATTTCCAAAGCAAAACGAAGAAGAAAAAAAAAAATTCAAAATAAATAACATTATTTAAAGCTGCTCTCATTTTCATCCCTTGTGGATGAAAATGTGGGCTGCATATTTCTGCAGCACAGAGAAGGACACAAAAAAGTAACATAATCCTGGCATTTAAAACCAAGCTTTTCTTGCCAATATTCTCTTTTTGAGACTTGTCCGCTGTGGCCAAGCTGATTAACCGAACAAGCAAACAAGCAAACCATCAAATACTGGCTCTACTTCAAGCTCCCCATCCACTCCCTTCGTGAGGTCTCCCCAGGGAACCCACCACCACTTTCAGTGCCCACCTAAGCCTAAACCACAGAGAAGCCAACCCATCCCACCAGCAACGCCTGTCACCCTGGTAGCACAGGAGCTCTAATCCAGAGCTGCAATGCATATGGAAGTACGTATATGTTTATGATGTACTTAGACTAACAACCATGGTCAGAGCTTCATCTCAGGAGAGACCGAAGAAAGTACAGATATAAACCAAAGACAGCTTCCTGAAGGAGATCCAACTTGGGGAGACACAGAAAACTGATCCACCTCTTCTGAATTTATGGGCTTTTCCCACCCTTGCCCTGAAGGGCACAGATGCTATTTGAGCAAGGACTGGCAATGCCACTCTGGGCAACCACAGATGATCAGAGCAGCATCGCTGGTCCCTAGTCAAAGAGCATCTGCAACCACTGAGCTCAGAACTTCACCAACTCATCCCCAAGATATTTCTAACACTCAAAGTTAGGAAATGCAAGTGAAAACTCAGGCACCCTGTTGATCTTCCAAGTCAGTGAGTCAGGGGAACTCCCTCCCCTGTTATTTCCCGCTATAAAAAGCAGGCGATGTACACGAGGATGCGGGGGTAGGACACGCAGAGCTGTGCCTTTCCAAATGAACTGTCTCATTAACGGAGTTGTGCATCTGCCCAGAGGTAGGAAACCAGGATCCAACAGACTGGAGGCACAGCTCCCTCCTAGCACAGGGAAACTAAGGTTAAACAATCCTTGAACAAAATAAGCTGAAAATGGTAAAACTTTGAAGTCAGAAGCACACAGGGAACAAGCGGTACAAAGAAAGCACCTTTGCAGAGGCGATGCAGAAGCTACCAAAATGTGAATTAAATCTAGATAAAGACAGTAAGAATCCCACGGGACCTGTTTACCCAACGTAGCTCACAAGTTGGATGCACAAGACCCTACCGATGCCCAAAACTCAGCTGCTTCTGGGCTGGAAAATGGCGCATGCTGAAAAGCACAGAGTGACACCAGGCTGAAGAAATGAAGACCCAGAGAGTCGTCTGCAGGTGGCAGGGAAATGGAGAGAGCGCTGCTAACCACATTCCAGCTTTGACCAGACCCAGGGGTTAACCCTGAATCAGCTGCAAGGTGTTTGCTCCCTTCCCATGGACAGAGCCTGGGCTTGGGCTGCCAGGAGGGACAGAGACAGCCAGAGTCGCAGTCGCCCTCAAGTTCCCCGTTTCATCAGGTGTTCGGAGCAATACTAAGAAATCCGCTTGTTTTTTCCTGAATAAAGAAAATTCCCCGTTGCTCTTGCTAAAAAAAAAAAAAAAAGCCTGACACGGGGTAAGGCCAGTTCATATCGCCTCGTGAAAACACCCCGACTTACAGGAAGGGCAAAGTGAGCAACACACCCCGGAGAGGTCACAGCACAATTGTGGTTCCCTGCAAGAACCACACGTACTCCTGGTCTCCTGCCCTGCCAGAGCCTGGCTCCCCAAACCAGAAGGGCTCACGGTGTTTGCAGGGGCCATGGCTGGTAGAGCACGGGTGAGACCTCAGCCCACCCCTCTCCTTCCCTTAAAAATGGGTCTCCTTGCTCTACCAGCACAAACTCTATCCTCAGGGCAGCAACATCAGCCCACTGCCAGGAACTGCCCCAAAATCTAACTGAACCTTCTGCACTGGAGTGATAAAATCATAGAATCATAGAATGGTTAGAGATGGAAGGGACTTTAAAGATCATCGAGTTCCAACCCCCCCTGCCATGGGAAGGGACACCTCCCACTAGAACAGGTTGCTCAAAGCCCCATCCAGCCTGGTCTTGAACACCTCCAGGGATGGAGCATCTATAGCTTCTCTAGGCAACCTGTTCCAGTGCCTCACCAGCCTCACACTAAAGAATTTCTTTCTGGTATCTAATCTAAATCTCCCATTTCAGTTGAAAACCATTCCCCTTGTCCTATCACTCCACAGTCTGATGAAGAGTACCTCCCCAACTCTCCTTTAGGCCCCCTTTAGGTACTGCAAAGGACTATAAGATCTATCCGGAGCCTTCTCTTCTCCAGGCTGAAGAACCCCAGCTCTCTCAGCCTGCCTTCATAGGAGAGGTGCTCCATCTCTCTGATCATCTACGTGGCCCTCCGCTGGAGCCGTTCCAACAGGTCCATGTCCCTTCTATCTGGCTTCGGAGCAAGAAACGGCTTTAAAGCCACCGCTGCTGAGGGCGTCGGGGAAAGGCTGCCCGCTCGCCCAAGGCCCTCCCAGCCCCTCCATGCCAGCTGGAGCTTTTCGTAGTCCCAGTCAGCAAAGGTGACTCACGGCAGAGGCAGGGAGCCACGCTGCTGACTCAGGTGAAGTTCTTCCTTTAAAATAAAGCCAATCCTTAGTTATTTTCCCAAACAGAATTGCACGCGTAGCTAGCATTTAAATAAATAAATAAATAAAAAATGAAGCTCATCTTTCTTGCAAACATCATCTGCTGCGTGTCTCCCCCTGCTCTGCAGGAGGGATGTAGCAATGGCTGCTGGAACCCTGTCCTCTACCTGGAGGAGCCTCTCGATCCTTCTCAGCACACGACAGAGGTCGGGCTGAGGATGCCGAGGTCGTGGAAGGACATCCACTAGATCTCCTCCAAGGACATTCCCGCGCCGGCTGTCGGTTCCTCCTGCGGATCCCAATGGACGCTGTGCCCAGCCTGCTCCCACCTCGCCGTCCCTGCCTCTCCCTGGACAACCAGCAGCCCCTTCCTGGGGCTCCCCCCCAAGCCTGCTCCCCCGGGAGGCTCGGCACCACCGGGAAAAGGGATTAAAAGGAAGGCAGGTTCTGTGCAATTCATCTGCAGCCCTGGGGAGAGGCTGAGGAGGCGGAGGGAGCCAGAAGAGCTCTGCCAGCCCAGCGGGTCATCCCTGCAGGGAGAGCCGAGCAGGGGGGCTGGGAAACGGAACCACGAGGCGGCTTGTGCCCGGTACCGAAAGCTTGCACCGGTATGAAAACACCAGGCACAACCACAAAAGGCTCCCCCTGGAAAACACAGCCCTGAGCTGCTGCTCGCTGGAGCGCTCCTGCTCTGCGCCGGCAAGGGATGCGGGGAGAAAATGGAGATTAATGGAAAAACGGAGATTGAAGGTGGTTTTTTAACCTTCTCCCAGCACGGCAGGCTGTTTTACCCGCTCCTCCTGGTGAAGCCTCCCATAAGGAGGTGGCCACAACTTGTGGACCCAGGATATTGTCCATAGGGCTCTGATCTGCCCAGGACCTGCCCGAGACAAGCAGAGCAGCCCCCCACTGCATCCCACCTCCCTGGGACCAGCTGCTCACCTTCCGCCATTGCTCCGAGCACAGGTCCCCCTTAGGGACCCTCTCCTCTGGACCTGCTGGTGCCGGAGCCGAAGGTGGCAGCTCTTTGCCATCCCACCCAGTTGACCAGCAGCCCCTCCGCTCCCCCCAGCACCACTGTGTCCTCCGGACCACCCCCCCTGCTGCTCCGAGGCACCAAGAGCCCTGGCAGAAGGAGAGCACCAGCCTCCTCACCGTGCCTTGATGGCCATCATCCTTACAGCTCCTGCTCCCCGACACGTTCCAGAGCTGCTCCTCAGGAGGAGGGACAGCAACACCCAGCATGAGACCCTCGCTCTCCTCTCCTTCCCCGGCAGAAGGGTGGACTTCAGCCAAAGAACTTTTGCTTCTGCGTTTCCTGTGACACATGTGAAGATGGATCCAGTGACCTCCATCCTATCACCATTGGTCATGGCCAGGCCAGACTCTTCTACAGTGACATGGCACCTCCCTAGGAATTAAAATGCTGAACCGTTTGCACAATGGACACGGAGGGTGAGCAGGGCCAGGGTCCTCCCCAGCGCTCCACCGGGGGACCAGGAGGACAAGCAGGACCCCTCACGTGCCAGCACCTGAGGGGACCTGAGGGGATGAGTCCCTCCTCATCCCCGGAGGTGGCACCGTGTCAGCCCAATTAGTCACATCAAGGGCAGAGCCCGGGACGTGCGCTGGCAAAGGTGAGAAAATGCTCAAGGATGATTCTGGAAAAGAAGAAGCAGCTGCAGCAGCAGCAGAGCCAATTCCTGCCGCCCTTCCCAACCTGCATCTCTCTTATGAGGAGAGACCGAGGGACTCGGGTCTTTTTAGTCTTCAGAAGAGAAGACTTAGGGGGGATCTGATCAATGCTTACAAATACTTAAAGGGTGTCAGGAGGACGGGGCTGGTCTTTTTTCAGTGGTGCCCAGTGACAGGACAAGAGGAAATGGGCACAAACTTGAGTATAAGAAGTTCCACCTAAACGTGAGGAGGAACTTCTTTACTGTGAGAGTGGTAGAGGCCTGGAACAAGCTGCCCAGGGAGGTGATGAAGCCTCCTTCTTTGGAGACATTCAAACCCACGTGGACACGTTCCTGCTCTAGGTAGACTAGGGGTTGGACTAGATGATCTCCAGAGGTCCCTTCCAACCCCATATGATTGATTCTACGATTCTGGAGCACGAAGCTGCAGAGGGAGAACCCCTTGAACCCTGAGAACCAGACGGTGTCCCAGACCCGGGCGGTGGCTTTGGAAGCACCGGTGGCATCTTCCCGGCCCATACCAGCAGCAGGCACGGAGCGGCAGCGGAGCCCACCAGAGAAGGGACGTGTCCTTCCCCCCGGGATTGACATCCCACCACTCCCCAGCCAACACTCCCACACCCACCCCCGGCACGAAGCAAAAGGGCCAAAGACACGCGAAAACCTGCAGAGCCCCGCGTGGGTGACACCCTCTAACAGCCCAGCTCACCGCCTGCCTCCTCCCCACGGGGGACACGACCCCCACGCTCCACAAGCGCCGGTCCCCCCACGCCACGGGGGGTGGGAGGGGGTTTGCTTCCTCCCAGATCTCCCCCAAGTTTTCCCCCCGCATCTGTGCCCTGGTGCTGTGCGTGCACGACCTCCCATGCACGCCCACGAGGGTCGGGCGCTCACCAGGGGCATCCCGGGCACACACACCCACACACCCCCCCCCAAGGGCATCCCCACGCACCAAGCGCACCCCAGCGCTGCTGCCACCCGCGTTCCCGCGCGCGCACCCCCCCGTGCACACACGCGACCCTGCCCCC